TGTGTGTGTGTGTGTGTGTGTGTGTGTGTGTGTGTGTGTGTGTGTGTGAAAGAAGTACAATAACAGAAATGAAAATTCCCCAGAGGCATTCTGGAGTAGATTTGAATAGACAGAGCAAATTTGGAAGTTATTATGCCTTAGAAATTTAAGGAATAACAATAACAGGAAACAACAACAACGTAAGGAGCCCATGGAGCCCCCCGTATTAGTTGCTTTACGGTTGCTATGATAAAACACCATAACCAAGGAGACTTATAGAAGAGTTAATTTAGGCTTCTGGCTACAGAGGGTGAGGCTGATGGCAGAGTGGAGGCATGGCAGCTGGAATGGAAGCCATCATGCTTGACCAGAAGCACGGGTAGAGCAAACTTGGAGCAGGGTAAGGCCTTAACCTCTCAAAGCCCAGCCACAGTGACACTTCCTTCAGTAAGAGCACACCTCCTAAGCCTCCCAAACACCACCACCAAACAGGGACCAAGTGTTCAAGTGTCTGAGGCAATGGGGGACATCTCATTCAAACTACCAGAGGCTTCACCTTGCTGTAAGAGTGTTATAAAACTTAGAACACAAATAGAGAAGGAGCACAGCACAGAAATGTTCAAAGCTCCCCCCACAAAAAAAAATGTATGCATCCAAGAAAACAGGATGCCAGTCTGGAGAGACACAGACTTGGGAGGGCCAGCAACATAGGGTCTTGAACATAGCAAGTGAGAAATGACTTATCAGATACAAGGGACTCCCAAAATTATCACTGATATTTTTAAAGAAGTCTTGGGAAATAGACAACACATTTATATATTCAAAATGCAAAAGAGAGACTGGACAGGTGGGTCAGCAGTCAACTCCCACACATGGCATCTCATAACTGCCTGTAACTTCAGTACTAAGGGGATCCAATGCCTTTGGCCCCCATGAGCGCTTCATGTACATGGTGCACATGCAGACAGCAGGCACATTCACATAAATGTTTTTAAGTTATTGCAAAAGAAAACTTGTCAACTGAGAATTCTTTATCATGCAAACCTATCTTCTTAAAATAAGAACAAGGCTAAGGTATTGCCAATAAGCATAAGCTAGGGATTCATTTACCATTATACTAGCCTTGTAGGAAATGCAAGAGCCAGTGAGATGACTCATCAGGTAAAGCCACCTGGTGCAAGCTGGAAAACCTAAGTCAGATGCCTACACCTGCATAGTGGAAGGAGAGGCCAACCCAAGCAAGGATGAGCCGTCTTCAGATCACACACACACACATGTGCACACACATACACACCCACACACACAATAAAAAATGGTAAACAGCTTAAAATCTTTAAAGGAAGAAATGCAAAAGAAATTCCTTCAGATTGAAATGAAAGGAAGCCAGACTCTAACAAAATGAAATGAAGAAATATAGACCTCCAGAAAAGGTGATTAAATGAGCAGTTAAAAAGCTAAATTTATTGTAATTTTGATTTGCAACTCTGCTTTTCCTATATGCCTTGAAAGACAAGTGCAGTCTGTTACTGGCCATGTGATGAAGAAATAATTTACAGCACATTCAGACTGTGTTGTTATGACTTTGAGATGATAAATGTGATTTCTACAGAAATCAGCTAAATTAGCTTCAGAGTACACATAAGAGGAAATGGTAAAGGAATCAAAACATCACTCTAAAAATATTGGAGAAAATGAAGAGATAATGACAGGCCATTTTGTGAGGATACAAAATATGAATTTTTGCTTATTTTTGTAATTCTTGGCCAGAGGCCAATCAAACTCACAATCCTTTTTCCTCAGCCTCCTAATAGGATTGCAGGTATGCAATACCATGTCTAGTAAAGTAGGTCCTATTTTGGTAAAGATTAATTTATTTTTGTGTTTTACTTGTCTGTAGATCTGTACTGCTTGCATGTCTGATGCCAAAAGACCAGAAGAGGGCATCAGCTCCCATAGTACTGGAGAAAAAGACAGTTGTTTATTTGTTTGTTTGTTTTTTAAGAATTATTATTTATTTTATGTATATGAGTACATTGTAACTGTCTTCAGACACACCAGAAGGGGGCATCAGATCCCATTACAGATGATTGTGAACCAACATGTGGTTGCTGGGAATTGAACTTATGACCTCTGGAGGAGCAGTTAGTGCTTTTAACTGCTGAGCCATCTCTCCAGCCCTAAAAGACATTTAAACAGCCATGTAGGCATTGGAAATTGAACCCATATATGTGCTGAACCTGGTGATACAGGCCTGTAATTGTAATTAGTTAGAGGTCTGAAACAGAAGGGTTACAAATTCATGGTCTGCCTGGGCTCTGGAGGGGGTTCAAGAGCAGCCTAGGGAACTTAGTGAAACCAAGAGTGCTTGCCTAACTTACACAAGGCTCTAAATTCAATCCCTAATACTTGGGGGGTGGGGGGGGCAGGGGTGCAGAGAGGTGTGTGTATCTCAACTAACATAGAAAGTTGTCC